CCCAAAACCCCAAAACCCCAAAACCCCAAAACCCCAAAACCCCAAAACCCCATGATACTAAACTTCGAAGATTAATAGTAACAAATATAGAACAAGAATTAATCAGGGATGAAGGAAATTCAAATGTTTCTAAGGGCTTCGGACTAGGGGAAAATTCAATGGAAAAGGGAAGTTCTTAATAAAGATTCGAACAAAAGAATTTCTTACAAATAAGTAAATGATATAGTTAAGTTAATATGTAAATTATAATCAATGTTAAGCAGCTGCTTACTTCTTGGCTTCCTTTTTAGCTTTTCTAGCAGCATCATTGTCTTCTTTCTTTCTTCTGTCCCAGTTCCACTTTGAGACCTGGTTGAAAGTGAAGTTGAGCTTGATTGCGAGATCGCATTTCTTCTAATAGTCCCAATTAGGATTTTTGAGATACTCAACTTCAAGAATTTCTTTCTCTTGACTGGTTTTTTTCTACCTTCGTCTTTTGTCGTTTATTCTTTCGTGTTCAATTCTTAAGAGCTTCTATCTTTATTCAATATCATGATCTCTCTCAATTTTAGAAAGACCGTCGTCTGCTTTTTAGGCTTTTTGCATTTAAGATATTTATTGATTTTAAATTTATTATAGATGTGACTATTCTTAGTGCTCTTAATGTGAAATTAGTTAAATTGTTTAGTAGGGAGTGCTAGTGTAGGAGATTCCACTAATTTCACTATCTAACCTTTATTGTGGAACTTTATCGCCTTCGAATGGAGATGGTTTACAATGAGTATTCGAATTAGTTGGAGGAATAGAATCTAAAGCGGAGATGTCGTAATTAACTTAGTTGAGGTTTCTAACTGCTTGTAATATGTTCTGAGGAATTCCAGTCTCATTCTGGGTTCTGGAACGCACCTGAGATTGGACTTAAAGCTGTGTAACTGGAATATGACCATTATTTACAATACTGATTTGCGCATGTTACCTCGTTTGAATTACTGCTTGTTGCTAAATAGGAGATCCATCATTATTCAAGAGTCCATCGTGATTAATCCTGTTTGAATTGGCGGGACCATTAGAAGGGATATTTTGGATGTAATAACTTGTAGGTTTGTTAATAGAAGTCCTTAGTCTGCTATCCATACAAAACAAACTGTCGCCAGTTTAGTATTTGGATATTGAGGATGGGAAATTAGAAACATTAACTACTTGATAAATCTGATCATTCCCATTATCATTAGGTGAATTTCTATGAGTTTGTCTGAGTGTATTTTAATGTAAGGGTTGTTATTAAATAATTATTGATGTAGGTTCTTTGTTCCATTAGATTACTGCTGAAGGCATTGGTGAGATTTAGCAAGATAAACTGTTAAATGAGTTTAGATTTCTAATAAAATGATTGTCACTCATAGTCTTTTTTTTCTTTGATAATTTAAAGATTTTAAATTATTTAATCTATTAGTATTCGAACTTCAAAATATAATAATCATTCAGACTACGTATTTTTAGCTAGAAAGCCTGTGATAATTCTATCTGTCGAACTATTTCTTGTTCATTCATTTTTTCCCTTTCCAGTTTAGATTTCTTCAGCTAGGGGTTTTGGGGTTTTGGGGTTTTGGGG